TCTTTTAAATTAAATTTAGAGTACTTGTACATAAGATAGTTGTAGATAAGAAAATATATCATAATAAAAAAACAGGCGCTAAACATCGCAGAGCTATGCCATTTTTTATTAGGTCGGCAAGATTGTGTAGCATTCCACTGGTGGGGAGTTCAGTGTTCTACCCTAACCGCCTCAGTATCTAGTAATCTACATTTGTTTTCTATTTTTAAATTAGAATTTCTTTGAAATTTTCCCACTTTTCAAGTGTCCATTCATCGTTTTTTTTTTAGATGTTAGTTTAAAAATACTCAGTTGGTTTCACCATCAAACTCGAATATGTTTCGATATTAACACTTTATCCCGGAAAAACATTGTATACATTTTGTTGTTGAGTAAGAAAATAGAATGCCTTTTTTATTTTGTCCTAATTAAACACTCTGTTTCCTTACTCAATAACCAAACTAATAAATATAGTATGTACGATGTTTACCAATAACACATAAAAGAGACATGAGAGAGAAAAACAACTTAATCACGATAAAGACGCAAAACATAGAAAACATTATTGTTACTCCTAATAAGGTGAGTGCTTTATTTTGCACTACGTAGTATAATTTGCATTAGTTATTTTATGCATTTACCAAAGAGATAAAAATAAAAAAAGTACCTACAATAATATGAAACAATTAACCTTTGAAGCCAACGATTGAAATCATTGATAAGATTGTTCTGCATAATCAATTCCACTTCTGCCTTAAGATATCAAACAACAAAAAAAAACAATACAGGGAGAGTCTGTGAAGCGACAATAATATCTCCTTTTAAATTAAGAATTAGAAAATTATATAAATTGTATAATTTTTTAATCATAAATTATGCTTAAAATCTTAAAAAACTCTCATATATAACGTTATTTTCCTTCAAACGAAAAAAAAAATTCATATAATATTTATCATCCTATGCATTGAAAAAGTATACAGTATGTCCCAAAAAGTTGTATACAAGTGGGAAAAATATAGATATAGAAATAATATGGACGGAATGGTAAACATAATTGTCAGTTCCAACAATAAATATAACTAGGATAAGATGAGGGAAAAGAACATGTCCTAACATGTATTTAGATAAAACTTTTTGTTCTTTATTGAAATTTTTAACATGTACCTAAATTCTTAAAAAATACTTTATTAAAAAGTTCATAGTATTATACCCACCTTGTTTTATCTTGATTATTACCAAAATAATTTTCCAGAAACGTGACATAAGCGTAATATTTATGGCCATTCTAATAAATATTGACGTAGTAATAATAGAGTATTTTAGTTTTGTGTTGACATTTAAGCTCAAAAGCATTTTATTTAGTTATAAAATAACAGATTTGGGTCAAGCTGTGCTAATTTTGTCAAAAAATGGATTATCGTTATCATAATATTTTGTTTCATAAGTAAATTTATATTATAGGTTAGAATCTAGTGTCATTAAAATTATATTTTTAAAAAGTTATAATACATTTTTTCATGAAAAGTAAACATTTTTTTTTTAATTATTTCAAGAAAATATGAAATGTATATTCAATAACACACATAAAACATAAAATAAGATAATAAGATAATTATTTGGCCAATAATAATAATAAAATATCTTAGTATTTCTATTACATAATATAAAACATATTTTTTTTACATAAATGTAAAAAAATAAAATTTGAATTATTAGGATTTTCTGATGATAAAATTATGCTCAAATCTGGTATATGTTTAAACCACTTATCTGATAAAGACTCTCTTTATAATCGAGGCAATGAAGCACTAAAAAGGTCAAAAGTTCGGATTTTTTTAGATTAAGACGAATCGGAATGCGGTTTTCTGCATTCGCTTCCAAATTTTTTTTGGATAAATGTCCCTATTTTTTATCTTATACAAACCGGAAATTGTATTGCTGCAGCCAAAAATGCATTCAAAAAATTCATTTTTTGAGACGGCTTCTGGAAGATTAAAGAACTTTGTAAATAAGAGTCAGAACTGGCCCAAATCAAATTCTCGGGGGTTTTCCAGGTCGCTGATCACGATTATGATTTTTAAATTGACGTACAGCCGATCTGGAGCTCAGGAACGCCGATGAAAGTCATCTCCGTGGGACTCTCCCGAAATTCATGGGGGGAAGGAGAAAAACTCGGCGCCCGGGGGTTTTTTGGACCGCTGAACTCAAATATGGCATCGACGTGGGGGCGTTTTTTGGGGCGCAAAATCCAAATTTCACGTTGAAAACGACCCCCTGAACACCTGGTGCACCAAAAGATGGCACGGATCTCATCTCCGTGAATTATCCTCACATTCGAAAAAGACGATACGAAAATCGTTAAAGGGGATTTTTTGGGGCGCTGAAAGCGAATTTCCCATCGAAAATGACCCCCACAACCCCTAATGCACCGGAACCTGGCCCTGAACGTCATCTCCGTGGGACTCTCCCAAAATTCACGCGGAGGAGGAGAGAAACATGGCGCTCGGGTCGCTGAATTCAAATGTGGCATCGTCGAACACCTTCCGGACACTTGGTGCACCCGAACCTGGACGTGGACGTCATCCCCGAGAATTTTTCTGACAAGATCGCCAAAACCAACCCGAAAATCATTGTAGGGGCATTTTTTGGGCGCTTCATCAAAATTTTACGTCAAAAACGACCCTCCTAACACCTAGTGCACCAGAACCTTTATCTTGACATCGATGTCATTCCCATGAATGTCAACCAAACCTGATATTTTAGAGACGGACGTCAATACTGCAATAGCTGTGTGGAATTGTTGATTCTAGTTAAATTATGTGAGGAGGAAAGAAATCGAATGAATAGAAAGTCAAAATTTATGTAATTGGCGTTTAAACATTTTTTATCGAACTTAAATCAAATACAATTTAACTATAACTTTACCTTACCTCATTAATTAATAACTTTTTTAGATACATAACGTAATTCTCCTCGCTCTATTCAAACCCGGCATTTAGAATTTTACAGGTTCAGCCCGAGGTTCCAGTGCACCAGGTGGTTGGAGGGTCGTTTTCGGCGTGAAATTCGGATTTAGTACCCCAAAAAACCCCCATAACGATTTTGAGTTCGTCTTCGTTGATTGTGTGAGGAAAACCCTCGGAGACGACGTTCAGGGTCAGATTCCGGTGCACTAGGTGTTCGGGGGATCGTTTTCGACATGAAATTTGTGCCCAAAAAACGCCCCTACAATGATTTTCTGTTGTTTTTTGCGCTCTTGTCTGGAAAATTATCGAGGATGACGTCCATGTCCAAGTTCCGGCACACCAGGAGTCCGGGATTTGTTTACTGATGCCATATCTCATATCTGAATTCAGCAACCCAAAAAAACACCCGGGCGCCGAGTTTCTCTTCTTCTCCAAGTGAATTTCGGGAGATGACATTTATCGACCTCGAAATCCCCAGAGAACCCGATTTAGGCCAGTTCTGACTCTTATTTACAAAGTTCTTTAATCTTCCAAAAACCGTCTCAAAAAATGCATTTTTGGCTGCAGCAATGCAATTTCCGGTTTGTATAAGATAAAATGTAGGGACATTTCTTCCAAAAATTTTTTGGAATAGAATGCAAAATACCGCATTCCGATCCGTCTTAATCTAAAAAATTTTGAACGTTTTTGCTTCAATGCCTCGACTATTATGTTAAATGGAATTCGATATATGAAGAATTATGCAAATCCAAAACCAGAAATTGGTCAACCACACAGTTCAAGATATGTATCTGTAACGTATGTAGGGTGGGTTAATCCACAGCCCTTATGCCCCACTAGGCCCATTGTGCATCCTCCTAAGTAGATAGGCACCTCCTTGCTCGTTAGTCAGCCTACAGATTTATAATGTAGTTGACAACGTCGACAAGAAGTGCTTCTCTTATATCGGCCGGTGTTAGCCAATTCTCGCCGAACACAAATCTAATAAATGAGAGCGTTGGGCAATCGTACATTTTCTTGTTCACACCCCCTGCAGAGTGCGGATTCTGACAGATCCATAACATGGAAATGGTTCCATAATTGGTAATTTTCAGTCAGAATGCCTGTGATCAGGCGCATATTCTGTTTAGTTATAGTCAGGTATGTGATCGCTGTAGTGTTAGTAAGATAACTTAAAAGCTCTTTGGCAAGTCTGCAGCTTCTTGTTTCATACCATCTTCCTTTGATTTGACAAGGGAATGTTTTTTTATTAGGTTTGTCAATATCTATGTTGTTAGTCCAATAGAAGGGCTAGATCCAAAAAGTATTTGGTTGGCTACCTTCTTGGCAAGTAAATCAGGAAGACCGTTACCTTGCGATGTGGCGTAACTTTTGATTCGTCTTAAGTTGACCGCATTGTTCATAAGTAATGTATACTCTTTTGACTGTTTCCTAAGTGTGAGTTCCATATTATCTTGCTGTCAAAGGTGAGACCTAGGTACTTCACCTCTGTTGCGAAGTTTGTTATTGCATTTAGGAGTTGTGGATGTTTAAATTCCATTTTCATCCTTTTCCTTACAAAAAGGACCATTTCTGTTTACTTGGTACAGTTCAAGATATTTCACATATTAATTTATATATCACTGAATTTACATATTTATATTGTCATTATTTTTTGTAAATATAATTTCAACTTTTGCGGTTCTCCTTAACTTTAATTATAGCCGGTCGTTACAGCACCGTTTGAAGATACATCGAACTGTAAATTCTGTAGCGTGAAGAATAAGATAAACATTTTCTCAGGCAATTCTTTAGGCCACACTGTATAATTTTTATAAGAATGTTGTCTACAATTTCAATTCAAAATGCTCTATTGTTTTTAATTTTTAAAATAGAGGGACATGTGTTATGTGTGTTATGAACTCACCCTGTATAATTTTTGTTAAATATCAAATCACTAACTATAATTAATATACAATAATATAGAAATAAAAAATTTAATTGTTTATTTGCTAAAGAATGATTCAATTTATCATATTGATTTTTGTTATCACATTTTCAAGATATTTATAAGTATTTTAACAAATGTTTTTTTGTAGTAGTATTATTGAACTTAAAGATAAATCATGTTTAGATTTATTTTATTCTACTCAGTTTTTCACTTGTGCAGTGCTACTGATGCTCCAATAATTGGAATATTAGCACAAGCGACTGACTCGTATGACGCTGATACGTACATAGCAGCTTCGTACGTTAAATTTGTGGAAAGTGCTGGAGGCAGGGTACTTCCAATATGGTACGTTATTCGTTTACATACTTAAGCCTTGTTCAGAGTAGGAGCGACGAGTGTCGCGATAGCGTTGCGTCGGTAAAACAACCTAGTGTTATTAAACGCAAACGTTCAAAGTGAGAGCGAACAGCGATGAGATATTTGAAATAAAAATCACTTCGCTTAATGCAACGCTATCGCATCGCATCGCCACGATCGCCGCTCCTACTCTGAACAAGGCTTTAATTGTAGTAAAATGCAGTAGGCGATCGCGGTCCCACCGTACTGCGATATGTACTAGTCTTGCGTGCATTTTCACTTGGTGTTCTCGATCTGTGCTCGTTCACATCGCTTTTTCTTAGTACCTTTTCCAAAGGCTCTCGGGAGATTGCGCGCGCTAAAGTAGCCTTAAGCGCGCGCGCACAGACCGCAATGTGACGAGGCCGCGATTGCCCAATGTGCTCCCACCTTAAGAAGAACACAGCTACGTCATCAGTTAACGGAAGCAATCGTTGGTTCTTTGTTTTATTAATTTTTTAAAGCAAACAACGTACTTATTCCTTATTCATCGATAGGTATAAATATTATATATTTTATATTTGAAATAATCGTTTTGAATAGCAGTGTTTTTCTTCTTGTTATCGAAATCTATTTTCGCGAGAGTTTGGTAATATTAAGGAGAAAAAGACGTTCTTTATACCAATAGAACATTTAAAAAATAATTTAGAAAACATTTAATAGGTAGGTACAGTCGGCGCAACTAAATTTAGTTGTCATGGGATTTTTACTAAAATTCATCCATGTAAATCTAGATTTGGCTAGTTGTGTTACAAAGAGAAGCAAGGTTATTGAGAACAAAAATATATTACTTTTGTTAGTACCAAGAGATAATAAGAATTAAAATATAGGTCTTATAGGAGAAATTATCATGTGTTTTAATATATTACAGTTATTTGCTGAATATTTTTTTTATTACTATTTAAAGATGAGCAACCGAGTTAAATTCATCTTTATTTTTCTTTAAACTTTTCCCTACCTAAATGTTTTCTCTTAGTATTTGCCTCTCCTCCACTTTAGACAGTGATTCCTTAGTTTTTTTAATGAATTGACAGCTTTTGATAATCATACAGTTAAAAATAGATCATTAATTATTACTGAAGAACCAAACTATTTTTAATAAATATAAAAACTACAAAGAAATATACACTGATGCATCAAAATGTTCAGCAATATAAAATCTTATTAAAAATGGAAGCTTCAAGGGCGTGGAAATAAAAAAAATACCCTAAATCGAAAACGAAAAGCGATATCAACATGAAATTTTTAGTAAAAATTAAGCTTTATATGAGATAAAGCCTATTGTTTCTGAAAAAAATTTGAATAAAAATGAGGAGTTAAGGAGTTAAATGTTTAAAAAAATCAAGCTCTATAACAGAACAAAGCCTATTGATTTTAACAAAATCTGAATAAGGTCGGTGGGGGTCAAGGGGGGCTGAAATAAAAAAAAAATAGAAAAACTAAAAGCGATACCAACATGAAATATTTAGTAAAAATCAAGTTTTATAAAGGAATGAATGAATAAATAAATAAATAAAAATGAGGAGATAAAGAGAATTGAAATATTGAAAAAAAAAATCCGAAACTCAGAAACAAAAAACGATATTAAATTAAAATCTTCAGGAAAAATCAAGCTTCTGAGAAAGCTTTGATTGAAAATAAGGGTTAAGGGGTCTGGTAAACTGTGAAGAGTATAATATACGAGAGTCATTCAATAAGTAAAGAGACAAATGGCTATAGCTCAAAACCGGTTTATTTCAATCTTTCAAAATTAAGGCTATTTTTCAACATAATCACCCCCCACAGTTATGTACTTGTCCCATCTTTTTTGCATTTTCCTAATTCCCTTGGCGAAGAATTCTTTCGATTTACCCCGAAGCCAGTTTTGCACCGTTTCCTTAACTTCCTCATTATTAGCAAATCTTTTCCCACGTAGGGGTTCAAACAGGTAAAAATCAGATAGGGCGAGGTCGGGACTGTAGGCAGGATAAGGTAAGACCTCCCAACCCAATTCTTGAAGCTTATCACGGGTCATCTGGGCTGTATGAGGGCAGGCGTTATCGCGCTGAAGAATGACTCCTTTTGACAAGAGGCTATGGCGTTTGCTCCTGATAGCTGGTCTAACTTTGTGTTCTAGCATCTCAGAGTAGTATTGGCTATTGATAGTTCACTGATATTCAAGGAAATCGCAATAGACTGGACCCTATGAGTCCCAAAAGATGCTCAGCATCACTTTACCTACACTTGTTCGGCCACTTTTAAACCGATCAACCCACTTGTAAAAATTCGCACGGTCCATACAACTTTTACCGTACTGTATCAACATTCTAGAAAAAATTTCACTTAGTTTTACACCTTCTGCGACTAAAAATCTAATGACTGAGCACTGGTCTTCTAAGGCGCAATCTTCTAGTGGACTTGCCATGGTGAATTGAAAATTTTGAGGTTGTTAACATAAAATGATGAAACAGCTGATCAGAGCATATCCCAAGGTTGCCAACTAACACCCCAGAAAAGATTGTACACATTCATCGAATAGTTTTAAAATTATAGAATTTGTCTCTTGACTTATTGAATGTCCCTCGTAGAATACCAAGCTTTATATATCTTTATTCTAATTTAACATATCTGTTTTCTTTTCTAGGATTAACCAACCAGCAGATTATTATGAACGAGTAGTTAGCTATACCAATGGGTAAGTTCAAAAAAATCACAATAATGCAATATACGTTCATTTTTATTTAAGTACATTATTTACCAGATTAATTGAAATTGTATAAATAAGGCTTTTAATTCAACAAATTTATCAATAGTCCTGATCTGACTACAAAAAAAGCAAGTTGTGTTTTTTGCTTGCTATTTGTAATTAAATACAGAAGAAGGAGGTTAACAAAATCAACTAGATCCCGGTGATGGGAGCTGCCAACTAAACTGTGAAATTCAAAGTAAAGTTGTCGATGAATTTTTCGTTTTTTTGCTGGAAATAATTAATTTGCTTTTAGGCCTCTATAACAATAAAAAATTCCTTTACAAGCGTTTCCTGTCGTTCGGTTTTGCTACTTCCTGTATAGGGACTTCGATCACGTGACCGTATTTTTGTACTTTTCAAAGAAATTAGGAATATAGCGTAGATGCCGTTTTTTTTCATAGATATATTACCAAGGAAGATAGGATTGTTCACAAAATGTCTAAAGCCAACACATATTCACAATCTAAGCGTCCTTGGCAAAAATACTGTCATGAAATTCCTAAAGCCTACCCTGTGTAAGCGCGACCTTGAAAGTCTGCCACTCGATTCATGATCGAAGTAACGCTGACGTGTGAACAGTCGGACCGCGTCTCGAATTTTCTAGGTATGCCGCTGACGCCTCGAGAAACTACTGTTGAGTCATAGAGATGGAATTTTCGGGAGCTGCTAAAAACCTCGAGCACAGAATCGGATTTGATATAAATAGCCGACTCATCGGCATACAGTTTAGTTTAGTTTAGAGTATTGTAATGAAAAGTTAAAGTGTAATAAATAAATTAGTTAAAATTGTTAGTTAGTGTCTAAGTATCATATAAATTAATTAGTACATCTTAAATAAATTGTAAATAGTGTGTTTTAAATAAATAAACTATGGATAAATTAGACTATCGTCACAATGGTGTTAAAAGTGGAACTGTACATAAATAGTGGACAGAAATGGCTAAAAAACTGTGTGACTTAAAAGTGTCTGAGCTGCATCGAGAACTAGAAGATCGTGATCTAGATGACAGGGAAGAAAGTAGAGCTGGTAGAACTTCTTAAGGAAGCACTAGAAAATGAAGGATTGGATCCGGAAACGTATTTATTTTCGGATGATACATCTTCTGCAATAATTTCTTCCGTGAAAAGTAAGATCTCTTCCTTAAAAAACGAAACGTCTTCTGATATGACCTCTATAAAAACCGATATTTCTTTTAATATCATTGGAAAATAAAGTTACTTCAGAAATTTCTTCTATAAAAAGTAATATTACTTCCTTAGAAAGTAAATGTTTGTCTGATATTTTTTCCTTAGAAGAAAAGGTGTCTTCTGATATGCCTTTCGCGAAAAACGATATCTCTTCTTTAGAATCTAAAGTTTCTTCTGATATCCCTTCTTTGAAGATAAGATTTCTTTCGTTAAGAATAAAATAATGTCTTCCGTTGAGGAGAAAATAAAAGAGATGGAAAAGAAGATAGAAGAACTGGAACATTCAGAACCGGTCAAGAACGGTGAAATAAAGTGTCATGAGGTAGAGTCAAAGCTGAAATTGGAAGAGGCTGTAAATTCTGCTCGTGTTAAAGCCTCAATTTTTAACGGGAAGATGTCATGGACCAACTACCTTAAACAGTTCGCGACAACTGCGAGATCAAACGAATGGTCTGAGAGAGAAAAGGCAGCGAATCTGACAATCGCCCTTCGAGGGGACGCTTTATATGTCCTTCAGACTATACTCGTGGAAGAGACATATGATTTTGAGCAACTCAAAAAGAGACTAAATATGCGATATGGTCACGAACATTTGGAGCATCTATACCAAGCACAGTTAAAAAATCGTAAACAGAAACGAGACGAAACTCTTTAGGAATATGAAGTAGATTGCCAGGTTGGTGCGATTTGCCTATCCATTAGTTCTGGAAAATATGATGGAATGTTTGGCAGTCCAAACATTTTTTTGATGGACTCCGTGACTACGAGATGCAGAAAACACTCCGCTTAGCCCACCCCAAAACATTGGTCGATGTCTTGTCTGCTGCTTTAGAATATGAGGCAGCTATGCATGCTTCTGGTGGATAGAGTAAAATGAGGACTGTAAAAGAAGAAAACGTAGAAGATAAACTTGACCAACTAGTTAACATAATAAAGACCTTTACTGACAAATAGATAAAGACAAAGACCATCAGGTGCTGGAATTGCCGTGTACTGGGACATGTACGCAGTTCGTGCAAACACCCTAGGGTCCCAACAACTGAAGACAACACGCCGCAGGAAAACTAGAGGGGACAGCTTCGACTCGAAACTGTTCCAAAGACCCTCTCATACTGATAGCCTCTTTGAAATGTCGCGATGATAGTGTATACGTAGACGGCGAAGTAAATGGTAAAAAGTATACACTGTTGGTAGATACTGGAGCAACTAGGACCATTATACGACCAACAACCATAAATAACCGTAAGAGACTTCTACCAACAAGATTGCGACTGCGGACTGCTACAGGTGAAAGTGCCAAAATCCATGAGGAAATCCAAGTTCAATTAGGAATTGGTTCAGAAAAGTTTACTCATACTGTTATTGTAGCTGATATCGAAAAAGATGTTATTCTTAGAATGGATGTAATGAACTTACATGGTTTCTAGTAGAACTTTAAGAACAGAGTGATCAAAGTTGGTGCCGAAGAGGTATTCCTACATCCATATGGGGACAGTACCGTGCCAGTTGCTGTACAGCAAGATACGGTGGTACCTGGCAGAAGTGAAACCGTTATAGTAGCACGGCTTCAAGAAACTATGGAAGAAGGAACACCTGTCATGATGGAACCTTGAAACCACAATGAAGAGGTTGGACGAGGTAATCTGATCGAAAAGGGGTTGGTCACTACTGCTAAAGAAATTCCAATCCGTCTCATAAACGATAATAATCACCCAATTACTACCAATAAAGGCAATAGAATCGGAACTTGTGTAGCAGTAACTTCCATAATTCGTCAGACAACAACTTCCGACAATTCCAATGAAAAATTCAAATAAATGATTGCAGTTGCCGGTCAATCTCTGAATCAATTAGAGAAGAAGAAAATAAAGGAATTTCTTCGACGATATCGTGACATTTTTGTACCAAAAGAAGAAAAAACAGAAAGAACTTCTGTTGTAAGACACAAAATTGACACTGGTGACGCCAGGCCGATTCGTCAATCAGCTCGAAAATTACCAAAGGCCAAGAGAGAGGAAGCTGAAAGGATTGTTAAGGAAATGAAGGAATATAGAACCTTCTACCAGCCCATGGGTATCTCCGGTAGTCCTGGTTCAGAAAAAAGATAGAACTAAGAGGTTTTGTGTAGATTACCGTCAGTTGAACAATGTTACCAAGAAAGACAGTTACCCTCTGCCTAGTATCGACGATGCCTTGGACACATTGGCCGGAAGTAAACTATTCTCTACCTTAGACTGGAAGTCTGGATACTGACAGGTGGAAATGGACCCAGTGGACAAAGAAAAGACAGCTTTTACCACCGGATTTGGATTGTGGCAATTCAATGTTATGTCATTTGGATTATGTAATGCCCTCGCGACATTTAAAAGACATGGAAAATGTATTGAAAGGGTTATCCTGAAAAACATGCCTAGTGTATTTAGACGACATCATAGTCTTGGGGAAGACATTTGATGAACATCTAAAAAACTTAGAAGATGTTTTTAAAAGAGTTAAGGCTGCCCAACTGATGCTAAACCCCAACAAGTGCCAACTATTTTAAAATAAAGTTAATTACCTGGGTCATGTAGTCAGCAAGGATTACGTGGCTGTAGACAAGGAAAAAGTAGCTTCTATCAAAAAGTGGCCATAACCAAAGGATAAACACCAAATAAGTAGTTTTCTTGGGCTTTGTACATACTACCGAAGATTTATCAGAAAGTTTGCAGATATTGCTAAACCACTAACGCGACTCACAGAAGAAGCAAGAGAATTCTGCTGGGAGGAAGACTGCCAAACTGCTTTCGAAACTTTAAAGAAACATTTAATAACAGCGCCAAAATTATGCTACCCACTACCATGGGAATTGGAGGAGTGCTTTCACAGATTCAAGGGGGAAAAGAAAGAGTACTGGGTTATTTTAGTAAAGTGCTCTCGAAACCTGAGCGAAATTACTGCGTCACGAGAAGTGAACTCCTGGCAGTTGTTAAACTAAAATAAATTGCAGGGTGGTCTATTTAAAAAATATACATTTTTATTTGTCAAACAAAAACGCAACACCCCGTATATCCAAAAAAATGTTTAACATGCGTATAATCCATATACCTTTTATTTGAAACTTGTTTGCGTGTCAATAACTCAAATTGAAATATTGAACCTGTTATAAACGTCTAAAAGCATATTAGTTCATTGTCAGCTAACCACGAAAAAATCAATCGATAAGCAACTTTACTTTGAATTTGACCGGGTATATAAACGCTCCTACCACCGGGATAATCAAATGTAATCAAATGTAATCAACTACAAATACCAAGCAACTATATGCCACTATATTCGTATCTTCAATTTTCATTGTCATAATTCGTTTGTTACTTATTAATTATCATTGTCTGAATAGATTTTTATCTTGTTTAAACAAAAATAGGGTTCTTTTTCCTGGCGGTGATTCATCTTTTGAGACACCTGGAGGTTATGGAGAAACAGCTCGAACAATCTATCAATTAGCACAAGCGGCTAATGACCAGGGACGGTTTTTTCCAATATGGGGAACCTGTCTAGGATTCGAAGTTTTACCCTTTGCAGAATTAGGAAAAGATATTACAGTTAACTGTTCAATACCAGATGACTCATATACATTAGATTTCGCAGGAGGTAAGAAAAGTATCGGACACAATTATTTTTATAGTGACATGTCTTTAGAATTAAGAAAAAATGCTTAAAAATCACTATTTATTTATAAAACCTACTAAACAAGACAAATTTGTCCATAAATGCCAACTGAAAAACAATTTTTGGAAATTTCGTCAGTGATAAAAAGGGATTTAACATTTTATAATGGCTCCCTAGTATTTCATAGGGTCATTATTGCTGTTTCTTAAACAATAACAGATAGAGAGTTGGTTAAATTAGACAAAATATCGGTCAAAAAACTAAAATTGTGATTTCTTTAAATTCATTCATTTTTATCCGATATTTTGAATCTCCCTGTAGATATCTAAGGTTTGTTGTCAGCATTTAAATGAGCACAAAACTGCACAACTTTTGTCTAATTTAACCAACGTTCTATCTGTTACTGTTACCGATTAAGAAATAGTTATTCTGTCAAATATCTACTGGGCAGAATCCTGATGTGAGTGACAGGTTTCTGATCAATGTTGGAAGAGACGTCATAAGAGTAACAGATCATTTACTTGAAGTAAGTCAGAAAAGATACTCATAAAAATTTATTAAAAACTAATATATTTCAACAGAAATTTCCCACCATCTTACAATTACACATTTTTGACGTAGGTTCATAAACAAAAATAAATATCTGACCCACACCTTTAGTGAATGACTACAATAGATGCATTTTTAAAAAGGGGAAGAAAGGCACTTTCCGGAAAAAAATTTACATTACTATGTCAACAAAAACTTGAATCAACTGTAAGAAGTTTAGCGAAAGCTGCACGTCGATATATTTTACCATTCTCGAGATATAAGCTGTTAAAATGTGTTATTTTATATTCGCATCCTGGTTTTTAAAATATTAATCTTTCTTTATGAAACAACCTGGACGGTTTAAATTCTATAAATCCAAATGAGAAGAACATCAAGTGGTTTTGGAAATGGGGGAATTATTTTGGATATTGATTTTAGATTTTTATTAGTTAGAAGTCTTTTTTAGAAAAAAATAGAGGGTAGAAAATTATGTTAGGGAAGTTAGGTTTATAGTAGCATAGTAGTAGATTATTGAATCATACTGATTAGTTGTGTTTTTGTCAGATATTGTAATTTGTTATTGAAGAAATTATAAACTACTAGCTGTTGCCCGCGCTTTGCCCGCGACTTTGCTCGCATGTAGTCGTGTTATTAATATAGAAAAATACATTACTTCCTTTTTTTATTAACTTTTATTAAATTTTTATTTATTTTTATTCATTTTTATTCATTTTTATTAATTTTTATTCATTTTTATTAATTTTTATTAATTTTTATTCATTTTTATTCATTTTTATTCATTTTTATTAATTTTTATTAATTTTTATTCATTTTTATTCATTTTTATTCATTTTTATTCATTTTTATTCATTTTTATTCATTTTTATTCATTTTTATTCATTTTTATTCATTTTTATTCATTTTTATTCATTTTTATTCATTTTTATTTATTTTTATTCATTTTTATTATTTTTATTAATTTTTATTCATTTTTATTCATTTTTATTCATTTTTATTCATTTTTATTCATTTTTATTCATTTTTATTCATTTTTATTCTTTTTTATTCATTTTTATTCATTTTTATTCATTTTTATTCATTTTTATTCATTTTTATTCATTTTTATTCATTTTTATTCATTTTTATTCATTTTTATTCATTTTTATTCATTTTTATTCATTTTTATTCATTTTTATTCATTTTTATTCATTTTTATTCATTTTTATTTATTTTTATTCATTTTTATTCATTTTTATTCATTTTTATTCATTTTTATTCATTTTTATTCATTTTTATTCATTTTTATTCATTTTTATTCATTTTTATTCATTTTTATTCATTTTTATTCATTTTTATTCATTTTTATTCTTTTATTTATTTTTATTTATTTTTATTCATTTTTATTCATTTTTATTCATTTTTATTCATTTTTATTCATTTTTATTCATTTTTATTCATTTTTATTCATTTTTATTCATTTTTATTCATTTTTATTCATTTTTATTCATTTTTATTCATTTTTATTCATTTTTATTCATTTTTATTCATTTTTATTCATTTTTATTCATTTTTATTCATTTTTATTCATTTTTATTCATTTTTATTTATTTTTATTTATTTTTATTCATTTTTATTCATTTTTATTCATTTTTATTCATTTTTATTCATTTTTATTCATTTTTATTCATTTTTATTCATTTTTATTCATTTTTATTCATTTTTATTCATTTTTATTCATTTTTATTCATTTTTATTCATTTTTATTCATTTTTATTCATTTTTATTCATTTTTATTCATTTTTATTCATTTTTATTCATTTTTATTCATTTTTATTCATTTTTATTCATTTTTATTCATTTTTATTCATTTTTATTCATTTTTATTCATTTTTATTCATTTTTATTCATTTTTATTCATTTTTATTCATTTTTATTCATTTTTATTCATTTTTATTCATTTTTATTCATTGTTATTTATTTTTATTAATTTTTATTAATTTTTATTAATTTTTATTAATTTTTAATAATTTTTATTAATTTTTAATAATTTTTATTAATTTTTATTAATTTTTATTAATTTTTATTAATTTTTATTAATTTTTATTAATTTTTAATAATTTTTATTAATTTTTATTAATTTTTATTAATTTTTATTAATTTTTATTAATTTTTATTAATTTTTATTAATTTTTATTAATTTTTATTAATTTTTATTAATTTTTATTAATTTTTATTCATTTTTATTCATTTTTATTACTTTGTATTAATTTTTATTAATTTTTAATAATTTTTTTAATTTTTATTAATTTTTATTAATTTTTATTAATTTTTATTAATTTTTATTAATTTTTAATAATTTTTATTAATTTTTATTAATTTTTATTAATTTTTATTAATTTTTATTAATTTTTATTAATTTTTATTAATTTTTATTAATTTTTATTAATTTTTATTAATTTTTATTAATTTTTATTAATTTTTATTAATTTTTATTAATTTTTATTAATTTTTATTAATTTTTATTAATGTTTATTAATTTTTATTAATTTTTATTAATTTTTATTAATTTTTATTAATTTTTATTAATTTTTATTAATTTTTATTAATTTTTATTAATTTTTATTAATTTTTATTAATTTTTATTCATTTTTATTCATTTTTATTCATTTTTATTCATTTTTATTCATTTTTATTCATTTTTATTCATTTTTATTCATTTTTATTCATTTTTATTCATTTTTATTCTTTTATTTATTTTTATTTATTTTTATTTATTTTTATTCATTTTTATTCATTTTTATTCATTTTTATTCATTTTTATTCATTTTTATTCATTTTTATTCATTTTTATTCATTTTTATTCATTTTTATTCATTTTTATTCATTTTTATTCATTTTTATTCATTTTTATTCATTTTTATTCATTTTTATTCATTTTTATTCATTTTTATTCATTTTTATTTATTTTTATTTATTTTTATTCATTTTTATTCATTTTTATTCATTTTTATTCATTTTTATTCATTTTTATTCATTTTTATTCATTTTTATTCATTTTTATTCTTTTTTATTCATTTTTATTCATTTTTATTCATTTTTATTCATTTTTATTCATTTTTATTCATTTTTATTCATTTTTATTCATTTTTATTCATTTTTATTCATTTTTATTCATTTTTATTCATTTTTATTTATTTTTATTCATTTTTATTCATTTTTATTCATTTTTATTCATTTTTATTCATTTTTATTCATTTTTATTCATTTTTATTCATTTTTATTCATTTTTATTCATTTTTATTCTTTTTTATTCATTTTTATTCATTTTTATTCATTTTTTTTTTCATTTTTATTCATTTTTATTCATTTTTATTCATTTTTATTCATTGTTATTTATTTTTATTCATTTTTATTCATTTTTATTAATTTTTATTAATTTTTAATAATTTTTAATAATTTTTATTAATTTTTATTAATTTTTATTAATTTTTATTAATTTTTATTAATTTTTATTAATTTTTATTAATTTTTATTAATTTTTAATAATTTTTATTAATTTTTATTAATTTTTATTAATTTTTATTAATTTTTATTCATTTTTATTCATTTTTATTAATTTGTATTAATTTTTATTAATTTTTAATAATTTTTTTAATTTTTATTAATTTTTATTAATTTTTATTAATTTTTATTAATTTTTATTAATTTTTAATAATTTTTATTAATTTTTATTAATTTTTATTAATTTTTATTAATTTTTATTAATTTTTATTAATTTTTATTAATTTTTATTAATTTTTATTAATTTTTATTAATTTTTATTAATTTTTATTAATTTTTATTAATTTTTATTAATTTTTATTAATTTTTATTAATTTTTATTAATTTTTATTAATTTTTATTAATGTTTATTAATTTTTATTAATTTTTATTAATTTTTATTAATTTTTATTAATTTTTATTAATTTTTATTAATTTTTATTAATTTTTATTAATTTTTATTAATTTTTATTAATTTTTATTAATTTTTATTAATTTTTATTAATTTTTATTAATTTTTATTAATTTTTATTAATTTTTATTAATTTTTATTAATTTTTATTAATTTTTATTAATTTTTATTAATTTTTATTAATTTTTATTAATTTTTATTAATTTTTATTAATTTTTATTAATTTTTATTAATTTTTATTAAATTTTATCAATTTTTATTAATTTTAATAATTTTTTTTTAATTTTAGTTTATTTTTATGATACTACCATCCAAAAATCTAAAAACCACAGAGCACGTCATTATTTATTAATGCTCACATACTTTGATTACTATACGAGGCAAGAGAGAGGTCCGACACGCCCAACATAGGGCGCGGCCATTTTGAACCCTGTGACACAGCTGAAGAATCAGATCGCTCACTCTGCGTTGGCACTTTTGATCTCAATGTTTCGGTTTATACACTGTGCAACTCGGATAATACAATATATGACAACCGCCTATAATAAAACAGCAGTCTTTGCGTATCCTGAATTTGTATCCCTGGAGTGGATGTTATTTTGGAACTTTCAACTGGTCCGAGTGAGCTAACTGATTCCTTAGCAATAAACTGTGACTTCAAAAATAATATTCACTGACACTGACAGCAGCAAGCAAAATATCAGGTGCGTTATAATCATCCGCTTCTGCTTCCGGAATTGTCAGTTTAGTCGTTTTAACCTGTCAGATTAAAACAAGAAAACCGACAATTCCGAAGCAGAAGCGGATGATTAAAACGCACCTATTAAAAATATTGCGCTAAGAGGTAGGCAACACGTAATAAGGATTCAAATTGGCGGAGTTTTCTATCTCCTTTTAAAAGGCACTCAGAAAACTGCGCAGTGCGACCATTCTCCGTATAGTAAAAGAAAATCAAAGTATGTGTTAATTCTCAGTAGCTGTATTCCAATGTTCATGTTTCTAACTTCAAAGAACAAAGACTTTCGTAAAAAATTTCCTCCCATTTTCCACCTTTACGTTATAAAATAAACCTATGTTCCAAATTTCAGCATTCTAGGCTCAGTAGTTTTGACTGTACGTTGATAGGTCAGTCAGGACAAACAATTTTATATACCGGGTGTTCAAATTAAAGTGTTACAGTTAAATACCGCCGAAAATATGCATTTTAGAAAAAAAAAGTTACAGGCAAAAGTTTTATAGTTTTTTAGGGTAAACATTTTGGCTAAATTCATTTTTTTTATAAATGACCATAATATGGCCATATCGAAGTGGACTTTGTTTTTTTAAATGGGAACCCCATTTATTTTTTACATACCCTTAAAGTACATAAAAAAATAAGAAACTTTTAATGGAAATATATTTTTTATTGGACTTTTACTTTTTGAGTAACAGCTACTTGAAAATTTTGCTAGGCGAAAAAAAAGTTGACCATATTGTGGTTAGCTATAAAAAACGATTTTAGCCAAAATTTTTTCTTCACAAAACTATAAATTTTTTGTCTGAAACGTTTTTTTTTTTAAAGGCGGTAGTTAGCTGTAACACTTTAATTTGAACACCCGATATATAGATTAAAAAAATAAATAAAACTACATTATTTTCATGATACAAAGTAAACAGATAACAGCAGACTACTAGCAGTAGAAGCACACAGGGCCGACAAGAGGGGGGGGGTAGCCGGGGCCTTTCTACTTTTCTACTTTCAGATGTTCGGCAGAAGAGGTGGAAAGTTTTTAGGTGAGGTTGAGGACCTATAGAAGGGAGAAATTTTTACTTGAGGACCTTTTTTTTGTTTTTAGAAATTCCAGTAGAGGGTTTGTTATTTCATTTTTTATAAAATTTTCGCGGCGCCCGATCTGGAGAATTGTCCTGGGGCCCGGTCTGGCTCTCGGCGGCCCTGGAAGCACAGAAAGACAAGTAGGATTTGGGAAAAGCAGCAGAACGAGCACAACCACCCAAGTGTGGGATATCAAGAGTAGCAAGAAGAAGTAGCGGGAAACATGAATATTGGGAGGAGATAGGAAAACAGACAAAGAAGAAATTATAAAAGATGTTTTTGTGTCATTTTTTAATTCTCAATTAAGCTTTTAGGATTTAAACTCGCCCTAGGTTTGAGATAATTATTTCGTTAATTCATATTTAATTTTTTTTTAGATTTCAGAAAAAGCAAACTATACGACAACCTTCCAAGTGACCTTCTAAAGATTCTTTTAACTAAAAACGTCACCTACAATGCTCACTCATATTGCCTAACAGAAAAAACACTTAGAGACAATGGATTAGACATGGACTGGCATATTTTGACCACGAATACAGACACCAATGGTCTAAAATTCATTTCGTCTATGGAAAACGTGAGATATCCGTTCTATGGAATACAATTTCATCCGGAAAAAAATGGCTTTGAATTTAAAGACAATCAAGGATTCGCGCATTCTTCAGATAGTGTGAGAGTTATGTGGTATTTTTCCAATTTCTTTATCTCACTAGCAAGGAAAAATGTTAATAAATTCCCTAGCAGAGAACTATTAGTAAAATCTTTGATATATAATTGGTGTCCACAATTTACAGGACTAGATGACAAATATTTTTTCCAAATATATAGTTTTGCAAAAACTGATTACAGTAAACATTTATTATTATAAATTAAATAGTAGACAATATTTAGGCATTTCTTTTCACCTTTCTCAGTATCACCGAAGCCTGTCTCCATGGCCCTTAAGGCTCAAACATAGTGGAATTTTTAAAGACAAAATTAAATCAAATAAAAAAAACTATTTTATTTTTAATTAACTCCATTGCGGGCTGCATAATATAGTAATAATAGTAAAAAGTAATCAGAGTAATTAGCAATAATATTATTGAATAGACCAAAACGTTTTTAGGAGATTGTGACGTGCTCCTAGCTGGATATAATGTAGTAAGTTCTTATAAGTATTTAATAGTTAGCTAGTTGCTCAACTTGTGTAAAAATTTTAAATGAAGAGTGTTTAAAAATAAATTATATACTTTTATATATTCTGTGTTATTTTTTCAACTGCAGAACTTTATAAAAATAAGTTCGTGATAATCTTAGATAAACAAATGAATAATAGATAAGTAACGGTCTGGATGTGTTTGAAGCTAATATGAACCGTTTTATCTATTACTTTCTCTTTCTTCTTGGTCTTTGATGTGATTCGTCTATTTTAAATAGCAGCGCCATTTACTCACAACTGTCAACAAGCATTTGGGAACTGTCAGTTTTGTTTGCACATTTTGTGTGATTTTATATTCCCAGGGCATATTTTTAAAGTTTTTAGAGTGTCTAAAATGTTTATTTAACGAATTTTGTTAGTTGTAAGTCTAAAAATTATTATTCAATGTTTGTTTGCCCTGAAACAAATTTGGAGAAGTTCCACGTCGTTTCAAAGGTAAGTAAATAAAACACATGGGCGGTACACCTATATTGTAAAATATTAGCATTTTTTTAGGCAGGCTTCCTACAAACTGTAGCAATGGAAATTTGTATTCAAATCCTAGAATTATAGAAGGTTGAAGTTGATAAAATTAACATAAATTGGAAATATAAAATATATTGGAAACATTTTATAATATTTTGTTATGAATTCTGCTGGAAAAGATGAATTTAAAGCTGGAAGCAATTCCTATTTTATTCACTTCTCAACTTGGTCCGTCTTCAAGTAAGTTATACAAGTAAGTTATAATAATATTATGTAATACAATACCTAATACAAATTATTTATACATTATAAACTTGGGAGATTAAATTTAAAAAATAAATGCTATATTGTATTCTCCTAGACAAAGTAAAATAAATCTTAGTGCTTTCCGGAAAGAAAACATTTTATGAAAATATAAACTACTCCAAAGAGTTTCTTGTATTTTAGTAATGAAATGAATTATACTTATAGAATGATTATGTTGTAAATATTTTATAATTCTTTTTAGGGAAAATTTACTTCCTAGTGAATGTAGTGAAAGACAGAGTCTAGAAGTGATTTATAATATGCACATACTGGATCATAAAATTTAAGTTGTTCCACCGACATTGCTCCAGAAGCTATAGAATAGGTTATTCAATTTATAAAGAAGACATCTATAATTTTTAAATTCAGAGACAAAAGGTTATGCTAAAAATAATACATTTAAAAATGCCCGTTTTTAAAAAAATATTTGTCACATATTATTTTGGAGATTATTAAAATATCTAAAATTCCAAAAACTTTAAAAAACGTTGAAAGTTTATAAATGAGAAGTGTGTTAATCTAGAACAAGTCAAAGGGGGTTATTTTCTAACTTTCAGCTGAAAAAACGAAAGCGCCAAGCAGACTTCTCAACAAAGTTCGATCACCAAAACGACAAGCATGTGATTATGGTATTCTCTAATGCTAGACGATTTTAATATTCGTATGTGATTTTAATTTTGGTTGTAATCTGTCATAATAATTATAAATCGTAAATGCTGATTTGTCTAAATATCTTAGGTTAGTATTTGAATGTCATTTTGACATTATTACAATTATAAACTCAATTAGAATATATTAAGGCCAATTTCAGAATTGTAAGGAATCAAAAACAATAAACATCATACATTTGCTGACATTTTAATATTCAAGTCATAATATTTAGATATATATTTTAATGTTTGACTTATCTACTTCCGAAAATAAACTTTTTTGAATGCGCTTTACTTTTTTCAAATAGGAACAGCACAACAAGTAGAGAATACCAAAACATTTGAGCTTTACACTTTTGCTAGTTGTTGCGTTTATTTAGGGAGCTGAGTGCTTTCAAAAATGGTTAGACAATAAGCCCCCGTTTTAATTCAGCGAAGTAGAAAAAGGTTTCAATCTAGAATATCTGTCAATATTCGCTTCTAACATTTATTTAAGAGACCAAAAATTACATGAGTGAAAATGCATCAGAAGCAGTTGAGGTACCTATGTATCTAGTATTAAAATAAAAATAATTCAATTTGGTGACATACATTTAAATATAATATGTAGCCCATGCACAACTTCGGTTCCTATGGGATTTCCATTATATTTCTTTGAAAATAGACACTCCACTAACCAATTTTATGCTTTTTTTTATTTATAATTACCACTTTTGATACTTTTATATTGTATTTTTTTTTATTAATTTTATATTGAATTTTTATAATTTATTTCTTGCATTGTTTTTTAATTTGCGTTAATTGTATGTTAATACATTTTTGGATGAAGCTTAATTGAGTCTTATATATAAAACATTTTTATCACACACAAGTTGTACATAGACAAAATTTAATTTATGTGATTTATTAGATGAATACAGGAGGTTTTTCAGAAATTATACATACAATGTAGGAATAAACTAGCTAGATACTGGCTCAAATATCTGCAATTATTAATAATTGCTCTCGTGAAAAATGAATGCATGATACGGATTTTCTATTCTTACATAAGTTTTTAAATGGATGTAATATTACTTACCAGAAGTTACTTGGCCTCGGCCGTAAATTTCTGATTCGGCCGTAAAAGATCAACTCGATACTTACAGCCTTTGGTACACAAATATCTATTTTAATTCTATAAATGTCATTAAAAATTTATGAAAAATGTATTTCTCATCTATAAAATTGTTATTTATGATAAAGAAACATGTTAGTTTATTATAAGAACAAAAATAAAACCTGAATCGATACCAAATCAGTGAAAATGTTGCTAGAGTTGGGGACGCTTTTATACAAAATTGTAATGTTACTATTTTACTAATAAAGCTACAGTTAGTTTATCTTAGCATTTTATTTAAATATAAATATATTATCCAAATAAAATTAATGACATTAGTCAAGGTTTAAAGGCCTCGTCACTTCAACCTTTTTTATGCTTCTAGTTTATATGTTTGTGAAAAGAGATCTATTGTTAATTAACAGTCTCCATTAGATCTTTCTTGGAACAAGATTACACACTATAAAGGTAAGTTTCAACAAATTTATAGATTGGTGTCTATCCATTATAAATTACTTTCAAAGCACATATGTTTATTTATTCTTAAGAAATGATAAAATCTATTACATATCATTTTTTTATATTTTTAAAAATAAGTAACTGCCTTAATTCCTATTTTTTGACATCCCTCGTATATGCTAAGAAAAATTATTTATCACTTCAAGTGGTAAGAATGCTACCTTTAGGGTATAGTATCAAACTGAAAATCATTAACATTTCTAAATTTGTTTAAAACTTGTTTAAAAAGAAACTCGAAAATAAAAAAAGTTAAATTAAATCAATTAATTATTGTTAGTACTAACCTGTGTATTGTCATTTCATTTATCAATTGTGATTTGGCACAATAAAAGTATAAAAGACTAGGGTTGTCATGGGGAGACAGATATTTTGAAAAAAAAAGTCGTCGAAAATTTTGAAAGATGTTAAAAAAAAATAAAATTAAGAAATAAGAATATACAAGAATTTGGAACTAATAAACCGTAAATAAACTTCAATCTCATAAATGACCCAAAATCAATTGGATAATTGTAAATAGAGCATTAGTAATATGTTTTTAAATCACTGAAACTCCAACGAAATACACCTTTGGATTGAATGGTAGTCGTCATTTGCATATCCAAGCACACACACGGAATACTCATTGGACTGCTATTTTTGAATAGCTATTCTGGCTAAAAAGGGATCTATTAGAAGAGATCTCTTATGAAACGTAAGACATTGTAAGTGTTAACTGATTTATTTTAATAAGATTTATGAACTTTTATTTATTGATATATTACACTTAGGAAGTTCGATAAACTTTAATAATATTTTGTAAATTTTACTTACTGTTTGATATTTGTTTTCTAAAAAAAAAAATTACTTTCTTTTCTACATTTAAAGAAATCTGCAGATTTTAATCAAATCAAATTGCGATTGTTACTATAGGGACCGTGCGTCATGACTTTAACGCTAACTGGTGACAAAAATGTGAACTTTATGGGGGGTATTTATTAATGTTTTATACGGCATTTATTGTTTAATAATTATTAATAAAATGAAGTCGAATTATTTTCGTAATATCAATATCGAAAAAACTTGTTGCATCCGTGGATGTACAAACACATCACTTTGGAAACCTGGATTTCATTCGATAGTAAAGAAATTTTATAAATTTCCACAGAGCACAATTATGCCTCACACCCAATGATATACATAATTACAAAGATTGCTTATCCATATGTAAATCAGACGACGAAAAGCGTATTTCACTGGGCAAAGTTTTCTTTTTATCTAGCTTGTATCAATTTTGAGCACTTAGTTGTAAAGAAATCATTTACAGAACCGGTTTAGATATTAGAATCTTTAGTGTTTTCTTGTCATTAAGATTGTTACATATTTAAATGAACATTTTATATAAACATAATTTTACAGATAATGGTTTATTCTGTTGATTAAAACTAATGTAGAATATGAAATAAGAATGTCCAATTTGACAAAAATATCACGGCCCTCTTTACAATTTATTAACTATTTCTCATTTATTATTAAAATAAACAAATCATAAATAATACATTGCAATTACTGTCAAAAGAGATTGTAACAAACTTTAAAATATTAAAAATCCAGTGATTTTTGTAAATTTTTTTAGTGACATTACCATTAAATATTATTCAAAATAATAGATAAGTGTCCAATTACAACTCTTACCAAAGTTGTTTATACCTCATATCAAAATTGTTTACATTACCTTTTCAAAATTGTATTACATATTGCAATTATGTATTTTATGTAGAATTGTTTCTGAAATAGTAGTCTAAAATTATTTATATCCATCTGTTATAAAAATTGTTTAGATCTCTTAATATTATTTAACTACATGAAAACTCAACTTTCCAAATACATAATGACATGTCTTGAAGTAAAACTTTAATTATTTTCTTTTTCTAAAGATTAAAATGCTGAAATTTTATTTTAAAACACATTTGGGCTAGAAGGGCTCTATTTAGTGAGCACTAGGAAAGGCACATTGCAACCCGCT